CACTGTCTCTGTAACAATTTCGGTAAAATGCTGAAATTCTAAGAATCTCAAAGATGCCGATTTCTCGTGCCTGAAGTTGATAGCAGCTACAGGAGTACTGAAGAAGTCTATCAGGCAATGCAATTACTTTGAAGACCCTCCTCAACACGAGATTATAGCAACAGCTCCCAAAATGTCAAAAGCTCCAGGCACTGACAGAATGCTGGCAGACTGCTGGCAGACTGCTGGCAGAATGGCTCAGAGTCAACAAACGTTCGAACAACTTGACATATTTTAACATATCTTGACATGAGTTTCCGCATGTTCCTCTACTAAGTTGACTCTCCTGTTGATCCACAGCGATCGCACCAAGCGGACGGCTTGAATGGCCGGAAAAATGTCCTGTCACTGAAACAAACTAAACAAATACAAGAAATATCAAGAAATGATCAATCTTCATCACACTTGTCACTTGGTGCCATCTGCCTCAGCCAATCCTTGCAGATCGCCAAAAGCCAGCTGCCACGGTGTTGCAAAGGCATCGTACCTATTTCGGCGGAGCTGTTTGATATATATATATATACAATTATATATTTATAATACATATTCTATATCATATATAAATATACGAGTCTATCGTATCTGAACACCATCCTGATTTTGACTTATGTATGAAGTTAGCGATGCAAATCATCTGATGCTTTCGTTGCAAACTGTCACGTGTTTAGCCTTCTGCTTTGTACTTTTTTTCTTGCTGACTTCTTGCTGCACCGTGTTGTTTGCTCCCATGCACTGCTTTTCTTAGTTCTGCACACAATCAGCAGGAGGCCCAATAGATCCCGTGCCAATCGACCTTGACTCAAAGGAGGAAGTCGAAGAAATCATCGGCTTCAATATGCATAATATATATATTCATATATCATAATATTATTCAATTTTATATCACTCGTTCGATGCACATTGAAACTTTTGTGACACGACAACCACGCGCACCTCGAGAGAACTCGTGCACTTTCCTTGGCCACGGAAGGACGGCACATCTCTGTGTTAGGCACAACCGTTTTTGCTACATGACATTGACATTAGTTCAAAAAGCAGAACAGGCGGCTTTTCTATCGATCCCTGCTCGTTCCTCTCGTTCCAAGCCAGAAGAACCAAGCGTTCTAATAGATTGGCATTGTTTGACCTCTCATTGCTCTCCAACAGGAGCACGAAATGACCAAAATGGCGCACGACTTTTTATTGCAGCCTCCGACAGGCATCGAAACCGTCTTAATGCATCATTCCTGCGTTTCCAATGTGCCTCAATGACTGGATCTGTACTGAGCACAATTGCTACGCTCTGGCTTCCTTGCTCGCCACTGTACACTGATTTCCTCGGGCTTCAAACTGTATGCACCAAGCAATCAAGTAAAAGGATTGGCTGCAAGCCTACTATCAGGCTGCTTCCTCACCATCAGACTGCACTGCCTGTTCCGGCATAACCCAAATTCGTGCGATGACTGCCGAAGCCCTACCATATCAAAGTATGCCTTTGCACAGCTGTAATGACTCAAACATGGACATCTGCTATACCTCCCTACACTCAAAGCTTAAATCTGCAGTATTGGAAACTCCACAAGAATGAGCTTACTAGACATCATCTAGCTCACTCTGTACATGCTTGCGGGACGAATGACTCCCTCATTTAAACACTGGGAGACTCAAACGTACATTGTTGGACAATGACTCAATCTTTTCGTCCTCCAACCTCCAAGATCTTCCTGCACGACGGAAGACTCGCCCTCATTCCAGTTTGCAACATCACATGTTCTTGATACAGCCACCAAAATGAAGGCTCTTCATTTCCATCATCTCGCTCCAGGCCAGGCAGCGCGGTAATCCAGTACAGAAGTACCTCAACACCGGCCTTCATCAGATCGGGATCGTTCACAAACTTGTCTCCATGCAGCATCAACGGCAGGCCAATGCCTTCTGGCGACAACAAGATACACGATTGCATCGCACAGCCTGCTCGGGAATGCTTCATTTCCCCGATGCGACTGATGATTCCCTGCACCGCTACACACTCGTACGCTTCACCAAGGCAGTTGAAATCTGTGACGATCCATGAAAGGGATGGGTGAATTGATACGGATCCTTCGCCAACAACCTCAATGTCGGAACTCTTGATCGATTGGACCTTTGCAAGCCTTTTGCCACCACACTTCCCCAGCACGATGACCTCAAAGTTTGTTGCTCGGATCCTGGGGAATGCTTCCGAATCTTGAAAGGCTGTCTCAATAGTTCTCTGCTTTTTTGAAACAAGATCATTCCACAAGTTCACCTGTATGATGCTTCCGCCGTCTGCAAGCATGAAGCTCAGCACCTTCCTCACACCTCGTGAGCCAGCTTTCCCATCTGCAATCTGCTTCGCCTCTCCCAACTCCACCACAAAGCCTTCAAAGGACACGGCAGCTTTGGCTTCCGGAACTCCATGAATATCCGCCACACACTCACACATAGTTGCAGAGGGAATTGTCCGGTTCCCCCCAGACACCCGCCGCTTCTTCGGCGTGCCGTACTCCTGGGCAGGACCCCCAGAAAGACCTTGTGCATGTGCTAATGCTGCCTCTGGCGAAAGCTTCGCGACATTGGCTTCTGGCAATCTGGAGTCAGCTTCGTCCAGGGTCAAATCCACGGCACTCATTGCAATAACTCTTTACCGCTTCTTGATCCCAAAAATGCTGCATTCCTGCACATGTAACCTGGAGCTTCTCAGCACACACGAAATACTGACCCCTACCAATCTTACAACTCAGACCACTAAGCTATGTACGGCTCAAAGAAACGCAACACGGTGCTCATAAATCAGCCCCCCGACACAAGCCTGTGAATTGTCCACAAACGGAACAGTGCAACTGACTTGCAGCCAATGTCAAAAGAGATGGATGGCTTAGGGCTTGGGGCTGAGATACTCCCTAAGGAAATCCGCCAAAATCTATCAAGTTATATCAAGTTCAACACCCGAATCGTCTACCGAGGCAGCCCACTCCGGGCTACCCCACCATGTCAGGACCAAAGCCCCACTTCTCAAAGTAGAGCTGGATCTCTAGAGATTGGAAAGAGCCGAACCTCGTCGATGACCAGTCCTCTGGTTGGTGAAAATGAATCATGACAATCCACGAGTTTTTGGGGATAAGGTAACCCCAACTATCATCCAACTATGACTTATCAAATTCATGACAATCCACGAGTTTTTGGGGATAAGGTAACCCCAACTATCATCCAACTATGACTTATCAATCACATTCATTCATTACATTTAATCTTACTTATAACTTATATCCCCATAGTTTGATGGCTATAATAATCATGCAACAGAGGCTCACAGCACATCTGTCCTGGGAGCTCCCGGTCGAACGTCCAAAGAAGCGCATCATTGAGACAAAATGGCAGTTGGCCCGTTGGCCCCCAACCAGGGCGAGGAGTGAGCCAGAGGAAAACATCAAGCTCGAATCTGGGGTCGGCGGCAGGGGGCGTAAGCCCTTTAATATATATATACAAAGGTGAGACTCAGTCTGCCACGTATGGATCTGGAAGATGCGCCGCTTCGTCTTTTCGTCCGGAAGCGGAAACTCAATCTTACGATCAATGCGGCCTGAGCTTCTGCGACGCAACACACAGCACGGTTCCTCTATATAAGTGTATATATATATAAGTGTTTCTACCGGTCTACGCACATTCCATATAAGTCGAAGTCAAGAGTGAGTGTGAGAGATGTGGGAGTAATTGAAAGTCCATGCAAAGCCATTCTGCAACAAGCACCTGGACGGATCATGGCAGGATCCAGCGACTCTATGCGGTTTGTTGCCATGATCACCTGCAACAGACTTTGTCAAGAGCTGCGAACTGAACGAAATGAACAAGCGCAGCAGGTGTAGTGGGTGCAGCGGGTGCAGTGGCCGCAGTGGCCGCAGTGGCCGCAGTGGCCGCAGTGGGCGCAGTGGGCGCAGTGCACTTCACTTTTCAAGTTTTCATTGTGCCGAACCTTAACATCTCCTCGATCGTCAAAGCCGTCCAGCTGATTCAGCAACTCCAACCTGAGCTTTTAAGCAACTTTAGGAAATGTTAAATTCGATTGCCATTGTTTATTGGTTTGTAAGAATGTTTATTGCTTTTTCCATGGTTTTAGGTCATTTTTATGACAACAATATGGACACAATGGTATGGTGTTGTAGATATGGTGTTGTATTGTATTGCAATTCCACTGACTTTGAATTCACAGATTACGGAATGTTGCACACAAGCCACACACCCACTCCATCAGCGGATTGTTTTGCTCGCAGGATTAATTAGTGTGAACAGTGAGGTACGTGAAGTTCCTGCCCACGGCTCTGTGCAGTGTTTTACTGGTGCATCTCTGCGAACAACAACATGGACATGTTTGTTCAAAGTGGGTCCGCATGACACCGAAAGATTTCCTTGCATTACTGTGCCAAATATCGTCACATCCGGCCAGTTCTTTTCAGGTGAAGGCAAGGCTGCTTTGCTTACTTGGAAAACTCTTTACTGACACTGCTTGTCCGCGAACTCTTGCACTGTTGCCTGTCTTTTTCCTCTCATGGTTTCTGGGTTTCCTTCTCTTCTTCTTTCTCTGGTTTCTCGATTTTTCGTTGTGTCTTGCTGATGTTCCTGCTTTCCTGCTTTCCTGCTTTCCTATCTCGCCTGCTTTCCTGCTTTTCAATTCCCTCTCAATTGGTCAGTTGTCAAACCCGGGCTGGCCTTCCCTGGCTTTACATGGAAAGTTGAGATAGCCATGCGTGCAATTGTTTGCATGAAGCATCTTGACCTCCCTGTGATCAGTCGTGAAAACGCCAACCACACGAACAGTCATACCTTTACTAGTCTGGCAGAAACTGAAGCTTTGAAGCTACTGAAACTGCCTAGGAAAGGCACTGCCCCGAGCAAAGGAGTTTTCAGGTCTGGGCGTTGGAGGGGCAGGATTTTGCCATCGACACTTTGCTATATTCATGTCCAAGTCACATTGTACGCTGAATCTCTTTCTCGCCACCACTGGTTGTGTCATACCTGTTCAGAAAGTTCAAAACCAATGAATGTTGGACGTTGCTTTTCCCCCAAGCAGCGAGCATGCTTGTCGGGACACGACTGAAGAAGCGAACCTCTTTGTGGCAACTGCATCGATCTCATCGATGAAAATGATGGATGGAGCGTGTTCTTGTGCGACTCGGAACATTTCTCGCACCTACAAGAATCACGCAGTTTCACACGTTTATTCCATGTCATTTCATGTCCAAATCGATCAAATGCACAGCAAATCTCTAGCCACAGCAGGCACCAGCTTGGGCCCTTCTCCCAGATATTTTTGGATCAATTCACTTCCGACCTCAGAGGTCAATCATCAAAAGAATCAAAAGAATCAAAAGAATCAAACACAAATTCAAAGTGATTCAAAGTGATTCAAAGTGATTCAAAGTGATGCACAGTGCCCGATGCCCTGAGGTCGTGACAACTCGGAGAAAGGTTGCAGAAGTCTCACTTGCGACGGCCTCAGTGACAGCACCGCACTTGAAGCGCTTGAAATGTTTGAAATGTTTGAAATCAAGCTAGAAGACATGAGGACATTGGACCAGAAAGCCTTGCAGATTTGAAATCGACTTTGCAGATTCCGATGCCTTAGCCAGGAGAGTTTTTCCAGTGCCAGGCACTCCATACAGGATGACCTTGGCACAGGCTAAGGCACTGCAGGGAACCTTCAAGCAGAAACACAGCCATTTGTCACGGTATGTCACGGTAAACAAAACACTGGATTCAACGGATTCAATGAACAGTTGTGCATTTACAGCATGGCCCCGGTTCTTTGGATCAAGTGAAAAGCCTACAATTCGAGTTTCATGATGTTTCATGTGCATTTAGAGAACCTGGTCAAGAACAATGAAATTAGAAGGTGGGCTACGGCAAGAAAGTTGAGACATACTACAGCGTGCAGATGCTTATGGCACGTTCGAAGAGTGAAAATGCAAAATTTAGATGACATGGCATGAAGAGGCACTATCTCCACAGCAACTTGCCCTTTGAGAACAGACAACTTAAAGGCCCAAGAACACAATACAGTATAATATATTGGGGTACGGGGAGTGCACAACAATCTGAGAGTACGAGAGTTGCAACCAGAGTTGTTAGCGAAGAGGAAAACAGGGCAGGAAAAGGGGGAAACACGTTGCCCATCCTTCTCAGGAAGGAGGATTCAGAAAGGTAAGTCAAAAAGTGGATGACTTTTTGAGGTCTGTTCTTGTTAAGTTTCGCCATTATCACTGCGTCGGAACCAAACATCTGCTCGGGATAAAATGCTGGTTCTTCGGACACCTTTAGCCGTTCTATCAAGCCTTTCCTTTTTATCGTGGGAATAGTAGAAGCGTCCTCGTCAGTGGATTCCAAAGTGCAAGGCTTCCCTACTTGTAGGATATGTTCCTCTGAAATCCCTCCCCGGGATACCCTTTACAATGCCTTTAATACAGCTAAGTCAACAAAAACAAATGTCACCCCAACTCTCAATTGCGCTCCATTGTATGATCTTTGTCTGCAGTCGTCTTTGTGAGACTTGAATTCCAGGACCGACAGAACTGCAGAAAGTTAAACATCTGTACCTTGCTATATAGTTGAATCAAGGCACACCCTTGGGTGGCTTAATGCCAACATCCTGGCAGCAATGGCCGCAAATCCAATTACGCTAGAACTTGGAGCTTGTTGCGAGTCATGACACAAGATGACACAACTGCTTTGACTTGATTTCACCAATGATTGTTGTTGGTTGTTTTCTATTGTTCCGATTCTGCATGATCATCCCCATTCCTCGTACAGTTCCGGATGAGTCAAAGGCAATTCCACAGCCTCAGACGTGCGAGAGGCTGTTTGCACCCTAACCGACTCATTAATTCTAATCCTTCTGTTAGTTTCTACTACATGATCTGACAATATCTTCCTGTCCATGTGCAGGCGGTCCAGCCTCCTTCATCTCCATGATCTGATCTTCAAGACCTCCAATGTCTGCATAGGATTCAGTTGGGGCCTGGCACATGCAACAGCGACTCTACAGCTTCATCTGCAGTGCAAAAGCTTAGAAATTGTGGAAACATGTGGAAACTCTGTCAAAGCTGCAGCTGTGGTGTTTGAAAACACTGCGCCTTGTCAACCTTCATCACGCTCACAAGAGGGTTCACTTCGTCTACCAGCAAACCAATCACACCTTGAGTGCCATGGTGCCAATTATGTGCCATTGTTCACTTGCGTCACTTGAAAGGTTCGAATCCATGTAAGCTTGCTATTGCCACCCTTGTGATTCCTTCATCCCAGTCTTTGCACGGTTTGTTTCACAAGTCAATCTTCGTGCAAGAAGAGACGATATGGCCGGAAAGAAGACACGAGAAAGCCAATCCCCTACGACCCAGGCCGACTTGTGTTGTTTCTGCCATGCTCATGTTCAACACCAAGCTGCTAAGATTTTTGTGGTGCATGAGAATGGAGGAGCCAGGCTCCAACTGATCCTGAAGCGACAAGGAACACTTGAGAGCAGGCGGAGGCGGACGAAAGGTAGTGTAGTGGGAGAGGAGTGGTGTCAAAATGCTGCGCCCCTAAGATGATACACCAAAAACGTTTTTGCGCAGTCTAAGATGATTTTATCCAGAGCATGACTGCATGATACGGTGTCTTGTGCAGCGTGAAATGATGCACAAAAAGGGGTTTATTTAAAACCCCTTTTTAAGACCCCTTGCAGCAACTGTTATTGAGGCTGAAGCAAACCAATTATGCTGAACTACAGGGACATCTCCCTCATGGAGAGTGTGCCTCTACTGTGGCGGACCGTGACCGCGTCACCCGCGGGAATTGAACCCATGACCATTTTCGATATCTAATACATAACGGCTAGAATTCCACGTTTAGCCCGGGCTGGCCCCCCAATACCCCCTATGCTTGTGCTGAAGCACGGAGAACTCAGGTAGCTGACGCTACCTTTCGTGATTTGCACCCGCTGAACTCAAAATACTCAGCCGCTGAAAATATGCATCTCCTTGTCGACAAAGGACAAAATGTTCACATAATACCTGAATATGGCGAGGCATCAGAAAAGTACAGAGATATACAGAGATAGCATTTTGCAAAGATGGGCAGCGCTGGCATCGCGTGGCGCACTCAGGTCCCATGGCGGTAGACACGATGCAGTGGTTCCTCCAGTACAAAGCATAGCATTTCAAGGCGGCTGATATTTCGGATTTTGATGTGCAACTCACATATAACTTTGCTCTAGCTGTTCCGCACTGAAGTCTGAGAAAACGACTCGTCGATGAATTCTTCAAGCGATCCGACATCCATCGGAGTACCGCGAATGTCATCTAACTTTGACCTCTCACTTGGCTCCCCCTTTTGATTCATGCTGCTGTGCGTTCAGCCAGTTCATATTGCTTCCAGTGAGTCTAGGTCTCTAAATTTGAGTGGTTCTCAAAGTCACTCGGCTCAAACCCCATTGAAGAGGACTCCTGTTTGTGTTTATCTACCGTTTTTGCTGATCCATGAACAAACCTAGTGCAGGTTCCAGGTGGCTATCTACAAACAGTTTAGTTTGAAACCTGTGTCTCCTTTATCACAGCCGTTGTGAAGATTGGTTTGGAAACCTGAGATTTCTGGGAAAAAAATGGTGAAAGGGGGAAACTAGGACAAGAGAGGTTGGAGGTTGGTTGGGAGGTTGTTATGTGTTTGTTCAATATTGTAAATCTAAATGTTTGACTGTTTCTTTTTGATTATCTTGCTAAATGTTTTGTTGAGGTTGTTGTAATAATGTTTGGTTTCAATGAGGGTAGGTTTTGTTGAGGGTGTTTTGCCTGTTATGTTTTTTTAATGTTCTTGTTCAATGTTTCTTCCTTCCCTTTGATGTTTTATGTGGTGGGGTTTCTGGGTCAGATTTCCCCCTAACTTTCACTGTTGATGTTTGGATTGAATGGGGGTAGGATTTGTTTAGGCTGTTGGGGTTTTCTGTTTGTGTTTGGATGGGTGATTACTTCATAATATGTTTTAAGATATTATGAATTAATCATTTATGCTGTTCACTTTCCTATTCCATCCCACCAGTGTTCAATCACTCTCATTTGTGTTAAGCAAGGTTTGTTTGTATCATTTAGTTCATCCATTGCTATTGATAAAAGCGTTAGGTTGATAATCATAGCGTTGAATTTTCCATCTCTGTTAAGTTCCTTACCACAATCAATGATGATTTTTTATCAGTGAGGTTTTCATACATCTTTTTCATTATATCAAATCTTACGAATGAATATATTATCATTCCATTTACTCCTTCTGCTTCTTCCATCCTATCAATTACTTTCTTCCAAAACTTTTCTCCTTCCTCATCATCTGGTGAAGGCATAGGATGGCACTTTACAAAGTCTCTAATCTCTTCATCTTCTTTTTCTATTTGTTCTCTTTCCCAATCATCGTCCTCACTATCACTACCAAAGTCAGCATATATACCAATATTCCCTGTATCTATAACCTCAATTTTTGCTCTACTCATTTTCTCTTACTATATATAGGTATTTTTTCTTTAAGTATTTATCACTTTTTGTAGGTGCTCTTTTATTTCTGTTAGATTACAGTAGTTTTCATAACCATTTAAAAGTTGCTTCATATACTCACGCAAGAAGACTTCCCAAAGGTCTTTTATCTTGTATTCCCTATTTCTAAACATATAATACCTTTCACCATCAGGAAACCACCAAACTCGCATTTGTCTAAAAAGTTTCATTTTTTCAAGGTCGTGGAATTCCTCCATGATGTGGTGTGTGTATTTCCATTCCTTCTTTGCATATGATTTGACAGCAGACAGAAACAGTTTGTTCTTTTTGAACTGTTCTTTACAACTATCAGTATCCATCACGTTGTCTATCTCCTTCCTGAATGTTCTTAAATTCACCCGACAGGTGTTAGACAAATAGATTGGTGTTGGCATTTGTGTTTTGAAGAAATTTATTTGTAGTTCTGGTATTGTTAGTTCTTTGTATCTATATTTTTGATTTATGTATTTGTTTTCCTTATCATTCAATTCTTTACATTTAGAACAGTGAAGGTTGTAATTACATATCTCATCACAAATTCCAGCGGGGAAAATGTTGTTCAATAAAACCTTTACTTTAGTCATTTCTTTCTTACAACATCCACAGTTTTTATAAGTAAATAGCATCCTCTTACTATATATAGGTAATTTTTCTTTAAGTAGTTTTTGGGGTCTCTTTCAGTTTTTGGGTTTTCTGTTGTCCCTTATCCACTGTAATCGTTTGGCTCGTTGTGTTTCGCTACTATCACTTTCATATTCTTCCTCTTCAGGTTTTGCTTCTTTGTCTTCATTCTTTATCTCTTCTATCATCCTTCGGATTTTATCTATACCGTGTTCTCTGTCAAACCCTTCCATTACATTTCTCACTTTTTCCAAACCGATATGTCTTTCAATCTCTTCGTCCGTCATTTGTCGGAATTGTTCTTTATATTCTTCGTCATACTCGTCTTCCTCTTCATCCTCATAGTTCATAAACATTTCCATTCGTTGCTTTTCCATTTCCAGAAGTTTGTTTTCCATCTGTTGGAATTTCATTTGTTTCTTGCCACACTTTCCACAAATATTTACAAAAGTTTTAAGCAAATGACCCCAGTTAGGTTTTTTGTAGTCGGCACTGTTTAGATTGATACACTCACTCATTATACGGCATCCACAGTCAAATTTAGTCATCTTATTTAGTCTTATTATATATGGGTATTTTTTCTTTAAGTATATTTTTTCAGTGTTGATAATTTTAAATCTAATACTATAATATATGGCAAGGAGACTGACAAGGTGCAATGAGAATGTTGCTCACGAACTCAAAGGCTGTGATGATGTGCAAGAAGAGTTTGAAGGACATTGAGTCTCTGCCAAAGTCATGAAACAGTGGAACTTCCGATTAAACATATTATGAAGTAATCTTTGAGACCCAGAAACCCATTTAAAGATATAGTCCCAGAACACTTTAATGAACGAACATAAAGGTAGGAAATGTTCAAAATGTAAAAAGACGCAAACTCTAGAAAACTTTGCTAATGGAAAGGCATAATGTAAAAAATGTTGTGAGTATAAACAGCATTATAGAGAAAACCATAGAGAAGAATTGCGACAAAAACAGCGGGAACGCTATGAACAATGCAAAGGACAAAAACTTGAGAAACAGAAAGAAAAGGTTGAATGTCCCATTTGTAAAATTGAGATTTCAAGAAACAAAATGTTAAGACACGAAAGAACCCAACGACATAAAAAAAACACCTGAACAAACCTAACCCAAAACAAATAGAACAACAAAAGAAAACTGATGAAGAAATGAAACGAATAAAACACCAAGAAATCATAGACTACCTTAACGCAACATTTCCCTCATATCCAGATGGTTAAATCACAACAACCTCAACAAATCCTAACCACATTCAAACAGAAAGCCCCAGAAAAGTTAGCGACAAAAAAAAACAGAACATACAACACATAAAACATAAAAGGGAAGGAAGAAACATTGAACAAGAACATTAAAAAAACATAACAGGCAAAACACCCTCAACAAAACCTACCCTCATTGAAACCAAACATTATTACAACAACCTCAACAAAACATTTAGCAAGATAATCAAAAAGAAACAGTCAAACATTTAGATTTACAATATTGAACAAACACATAACAACCTCCCAACCAACCTCCAACCTCTCTTGTCCTAGTTTCCCCCTTTCACCATTTTTTTCTGGGGCTTCTGCTTTTCGTCTGACTCCTTGTCCTCTTTGGGCTTCAGCCGTTGTTGCTCCTAGTGTGTCAGTGCATCAGCGCGGAATCAGTGTTGCAATGGTACATAGTGACATAGTGTGACATAGTGTGACATAAGGGCACAACTACAACAAGGACATACTCTGTCACAGTCGACTGCAGTACGACAGGAAGGCTGGTGACCTGAATGAATTCTTCTTCCATCATGAGGTAGTCCTGCAAGTTTAGCCATCTATGAGAGCAAAGCAAAGTAAAGCCAGTGAGAAGGTTTGAATCTATACTGCAGCAGGTTGCCTTGACACGATCATGCTTCAGCAAGCGAAGACGACACCTATGCACAAAGCAGATATCAACATTTTCAGAGGTACAGGAACGGCAAGAGCATCTCTGAGCATCGTCTAAGCAGCGCACTTTGATGTTGGCACCACAGATGGAAGCTTACTGGCAACCTGCTCCAAAATTCGCCAGGCAGTCAGGATCAAGAAAATTAAGAGACGTGCTGGAGTAGGAAATGAAGCAGAAAGGCCTGTGCGCCTTTCATCTTTCTCTTCTTTCTGCCAAAGTGAGATGGAGGGGCCAGCGCCTGCAACTTGAACTGCTTGCACTCACAATTCAACCGACATCAAATCCTGTGCACATGTTCTTGCGAAAAAAGTTTTAGGTTCCAACATGTGTACGACTTGTACGACATGCCTCGTGTTTCTTTTTCTTGTCGTCACCATCCTTCTTTTCTTTGCCTCCTTGGCCTTGGCCTGCAGCAATAGACATTGATATTGATGTATGATGGTATATATATATATTATGTGTGTGTTTGAGATGTGTGCAAGATGTCTTCTTATTGTCACTACCATCATCGTCGTCATCGTCATCGTCCTCGTCGTCGTGATCATCATCATCGTCCTCGTCGTCGTGTCGTCGTCGTCATCGTCCTCGTCGTCGTGATCATCATCGTCGTCGTCGTCGTCGTCGTCGTCGTCGTCGGTCGTCGTCGTCGTCGTCATCATCATCATCATTATCATCATCATCACCATCGTCATCAGAATCATCAGAACCATCAGAACCATCAGAACCATCAGAACCATCAGAATCATCAGAATCATAATTATTGTTGTTGCTACTGCTTTCTTTATACCACTACTATATAACCATTTCTTAACATCATACCATTATTTTATATAATCATTATGTACTCTTATATAGATTGCTCTCATTACACCGCAACGACAAGATTCTCCAGATTCACTGGCACTCCTCCGCCAGGGCCGGGCATGCCCCCAGGAGTATTCCCCATGGCTGTCCTGCGAAGAATGACATCCTGGCCTTTGGGGCCACATCTTCGCGACATTTCAAGACATGTGAAGATGGGAGACAACAGCACAGTGGGCCAGTCCTGTCAAATTCCCACTGCCTGCAGAACAATGTTCCCCACGGTTTACTTGAGCCTAATAGGCTGTGAATAGCTGTGAGATGTGTGATGCTTAACAGAATTGTGCCAGAACCTGTGAGAAAACGCGGCGCATTGGCAAGCTCATTTTTGCTCTGTGACTCTTTGGCCAAGTGAAACTGTCGAGAGATGTGTTGATCATTTTGCAGCCCCGTGCTGCGAAACAAGGCAATGTGGACCTCAATCTGGCAAACCGTTGCAGTTCCTCGAGGGCAGGAGGAAGCCCTGAGAGTGTGGCAATGCTGGCAGGTAGGCGCTCCCTCAGTCCACAGAGTCCACAAAGTCCACAAAGTCCACTGTGAATTTGGTCTCACAGTGAGTTCAGTTTGCAGCTTGCGGTCTCCGCAGTCTCCGCTCTGCTTACACTTCGCTCAAATTGCCACCAAGCTGCTCTCGACTCTCTGCGCTGCATCTGCCGCTGGAGAAGCACTCTAGCCTTTCCACCAGAACTGTACTGTATATATACATGTGGGTGAAAGGTGAACGCAGTGAACACGGTGAAAGCAAATGTGGGGAAACACCAATCAGAAACATGGAGCTTCATCTGAGCTTGCAACAGCTTGAAGTCGCATGTTGAGGTCAGCTACAACCTGTTGAGAGAAGAATCACTCTAAAGGAGACACAACTTAGATAAAATGCTACCGCAAGTCGCCTCCTGCAAGTCGGTGTGAACAGCATCCAGATTGTCCACATAGTCTTCCATATCTCGGACTTCGTCTGGTGCCTACGTTCAGGCTCCCGTTTTTTGGCCACAGGAATTTGGCACTCCAAAGTCTGCCTCGATTTTCCCAGTGAGGTCACTTTTTGTATCTTGCATTCTGGAAAGCTCTTCTCGCAGCAAGTCGAGTTGAGCCTGTGCAGAAGCTGTCTGTTTTATCTGCCAGTGATCCATGCATTCATTGCAGCCTGCAGCTTCATGCTTTCTTGCCAATCATCTGGAAGCTCACCTGCAGACAATCACTGCAGGTCCAGAATACAAACAATCTAAACAAAAAGAGAACAGAGGAGCACGTTCTGATTGCAATTTGCAAAACTGCGGAGTCTGGAGTGAGGTGTTGTGAATCCTTCCATAGATTCTCTACTTCTAGGCCACTGGATCTATATAGAGTCCTTTCAGTCCTTTCATACTAAAGCAAAATGAAACGAATGAAACGAATGAAACGAATGAAACGAATGAAACGAATGAAACGAATGAAACTTGGTCAAGGATGGGAACGTGGAAAAGCTGTCAAGTGACAGCTCAGACCAGTCTCTGACCACGCTCCAAGTTCGGTAAGAAACGGTAAGAAACACCCTGAATCCGATCTGAATCCGATCTGAATCCGATCTGAATCCGTCCGCGTCACCTGTGTCGCCTAGGTGCGGCAAGTGAATGGCTGGAAGATCGCGCTCTTCCACTGGGAGAAAGCGCTTCTCCCACACCTGATCCAGGCTAAGCATGTCAACTGTCATGCAGCTTGAAAAAAATTGAAAGTCGAAGACCTTTGGGTAGGGGAAGCGGGAATTGAAGCAGAAAAAATGCAAAAAGGATTGATTGCTTACAGAATCCATTTTGCCAAACTCAAGAAAAAATGCTAAGCCCTAAACGCGTTGTAACCTCGCCTGGCAAGGTTGTACTTCTGCGGCAGCCACGCAAAGCCAACAAAGCCCCCATTTCAAGCAACTGAACACGCTATGTTTAAACTTAAACAAAATGAAATATGCCAGTATGCGAGATCGAATTTTGCTGGGCCTCGATCGCTGCAGTTCCCCTTGCCTGAAGAACTTATCTTGAAACTTCTCTCTGGGTATGAAAATAGTATTGAAATGTACATGATATTCACGAAAAGCCAGAAGGAGAAGGATCATTTAGATTCCACTGAAGACTACAGAATGGAGTTTCAGGAAACTCTTGAAGGGTCTTCCCTGGTCTTTGGTTGCCTCTTCAGCAGAACTGCCAGGTGGAACAATCAGCAACCTGTCAAGAGTGGCAACACATTCCACGCAACTCAGCCATTTCTGTTTGAGCTCTGTGACACAAACTGTTTTTTAGACAGCAAGGGATCGACAGCGAACTGGTCTCGACAGGCAACCGATCGGGGCCTTGCCGGAACTGGAAGGTCGGAGGGCCCTGGTGCCACATCCTCTCCTCGCAGCAAAGCGGGCTGCACAGCCTAGTCATGATGCCTAAGAAAACGTGAAAAGATGCGAAAAGATGTAAAAAGTATTAAAAAGTATCCAAAAGTCGCGCTTTGAGCGACATTTTACGAAAACTGTTGCTTGAGATCTCTGAAGACTGCTCAATTTTTGGATTGTCCTTCTCTGTTTGCCATCATTTCTTGGCAGCGCTCAGCAGCTGCATGGAGTTTGACCTGCATCGTGCATGTGCTCAGAAACGACTTCTGGAACGTGAGAAGTGAAGATTGATGGTGGCTATGGTGGCTATGGTGGCTATGGTGGCTATAGCGACTATTGTTTTTCTGGGATTCAAACGACGTCATTTCTCGCTGTGCGGCGCTCCTGCGGGATTTGAAAGGCTTTCAGGGACATCAGTGCATGAATCTATGCCGCTTTTTTCTTCCGGAATCGACTATTCCGAGATTGGAAGTCCGTCATCTCAGTCTTGTCAGACTTTTTCAGAGTCCCTACTGGTGCCAAAGACATATAGTCGCTGCAGTACTTCCCTGGATTCTCCCAGCTTATTCATATACATGTAATAGCAAGCTGTCATTGTAAATTTATTTGCTTTTCCTTTCGTCTGTTACTTCCGGGTGCATGCAATCTTCGGACTGGACTGATTTAGGCACTTTCAGTCCAACATGTCTGGTCGCCTGTCTAGATTTTGAGATGAAAAACTTGTACATGTATATTGTATACATTTATATTATAGTATATGTTCCATGATTTTTCCCTGCGTCCTTTTTCGATATAAAACACATGTTCAACTCGTTCGCCGTCGACTCAGCTCCAGCTCCACGGACTTTCTTAACTTCTGCACTTCCAAAGACATCTGAGAAACCTTGCAGTCGCACGAAGTCGCTCAGTGGATGTCTATTGGATGTCTGTCAGTGCTCAAAAAGTAGTGTATATATCATATTGTATCAGAGTCACGGTCCCAGATAACTAGTGTTGTGGTCAAGGTCAAGAACCATTGAAAAGGTAAAAGAAGTCATCAACTTTTCTCACAGATACCAATGCCTGTCTGTACTGATCAGAATCAGCAGCGTTTTTGGCCAGATCCTCGCAGATACAAGCAGTCTCACACTTAATCTGCGAACCAGACGCAAACAAGCTCAATGTTCACCGTTTGCAAGGTCTATCTTTTTACGGTCCTTCACTTTGCTTCGCAGGGCTTCAACGCTTTCTTCCAGTGGACCAGTCACAGACTTCATCTGGTGCGCAACAGCGCAGCTTTTCAAATTTTACGGCAACAGCACGACGCAAGATACACAAGACATCACAAGACAGCACAAGACATCTCAAGACATCACAAGACTGCAAAGTGCAAACTGCTCAAACGATATAAATCTGCACCTGCTTCAAGTCATCAGAATGCTTTCGTTGCTGCTCATGAAGCTCTGTAGTAGTCAATAAGCCTCCCAAAATTCAAGGAGCAAAGATGGGCAAAGAAACTCCGAAATCTGTCTGTGCAATTCTATGCAAACAATTGGCATTGTAAGCGCCAAACTCAAAGCACAAGTGTCCAAGGCTGCTCGGATGTCGGCACTGCGTTGGACGCTGACCTGACATGCTCATTAGTTCCAGTGCTCAAATGCCACACGCAAAAACAGCAGAACACCAGAACACAAGTCGTCCACAAGTCCGTCAGCCTGCCCATTGTTCTTGCGAACCTGCAAAATGAAACACAGGTTGAGATTCCCGGAGCTTCCCAACCTTCCCATTGCTTTCCAAGTCCTGCGTTTCCATGAGTTTTCTACAGATACAACAAATGCGCCTCGGCTACAAGATGCTCCAAAGCTTGTTGTTTTGAGTCGAGAAGTGTCTCGAGTTTGGACAGAGCTTCAAGTTGTGGATTGAGCTTCGAGCGAAAATCCTCTTGCATCTTCTTTGCCACACTCCAGCGACCGGAAACCTCATGGATGCCTTTGCTTGCACCGTTGACCTCCAGGCTATACAAATCTTGTTTCAATTCTTCAAGCCGCTTGGGTGTTGGTCGCTCCTTGCTTTGAATCTCGACCTCGTATCTGTCCAAAACCTGTTGAACGGGCTCTGCAAGTCCTCCGCCCTTTTCGATCTCCAGCTGTGAGGAGAACTTGGACCAACCGTGTGGTCTTGACAGAGCATCACGCAGTGCCAAATTTAATCTTTTGGCTTGTCCTTTGATTCTGGCTTGAACTTCTAACGGTCCTCTTTGATCACCTATGCTTTGTAAAGACTTCCGCAGTTTTGTTTTGACATCCTGGAGTTGCTCGCGACTATTCAGCAAATGTTGCTTCCTCTGTTCCTTGGACTCTTGGAGCTTGGCAAGCTGCTTAGCATGCTCTGCAGTTTCTGCTGATGCCCAGGTACTCATCTCTTGCTGCAGCTTCCTAACCTCGTTTTGAGCACTGTCAATTTCAGCTTTCAGGACTTCTTGCTTGCCTTTCTGTGAAGCTATCTGTGAGCGCAGTTCTTCCAGGAATTGCGCCATGCGATCCGTCTCACCATTTCGCAATCGGATGCGAGACTGCAAATCCTCTACTGTAGATGTACCCTGCTCAATGGGGACCACAGCAAGCTGATGCTGAATCTGCTGCCTGTGGTGCTCCTCCTGCTCCTTTACCGTTCCTTCCAGCTGCTCTTGATGGTTTTTCAGGGAAGAGTTCTCCTTTTCTAGTTGGTCTGCCCGTTGAACATAACCCGCAAGAAGGTTTGATAGAGCTGCAACGGTATTCAAAGACGCTGACTTGGGCAGAGCACTCAAAGGAGATTGTTGCTTCAGATATCGTCTCGTAGAAGTCAACTCTGCTTCCAAAGCAGCACACTCCTTTTGCAATTTGTCTTTCGAATCTGGAAATTTTGGTGTTTTCGACACTGAACACTTTTCAGCGTCTGCTGGGGGTTCTCTCCAGAAGCGCTGACTGTAGCAGCGTCTGCAGAGCCAAGATCCCTCTCCGCTAAAGAGTTCTTCCTCGCAGCTACACGAGCTGCACCCAGTTCGCTTCAGGTCAAGAGCTTGAATGGCATTGGTCATCAGTTTTTGAGCCTTTTCGGTACCAATACAGCACTGAAGAACATCTATCATCACATCTTGCTGACCAAGTTCATCCTGAATCTTTTTGTATTGACAAGTCCTGTTTGACTCCAAGCTCTTCTTCTGAAGTGAGCGATTCTCCTTCTGGAGTTTATCAATGGATTTCATCAGTGAGTTCACCTTGGATGATTGCACTCGGTTCGCCAAGGCAATCTGTTCGTCCAAGCCCCTTGGCTCCACCTGTCTCAACGCCATGTCAAAGTCCTGACTTGGGGAGCCACTTGTCATGCGTTACAAGTTGTATCAAGTTGTATCAAGTTGTTCTGGCCGAACCACTTGCCAAACCAGACGAATGTCTACTTTGGGAACAAGCCAAGGCATACAAGCATACAGAGCATGCTGAGCATGGGCGCCCGAAAAGATAAATGCGCACGGTTATAAGATGTTATAAGTTATAAGTTATAACTGCAAAATTGACACGTCTGCTTTGGGTTGACCCCCAACCTGTTCAGGATTTGTGGCATGCTTGTTGCAGTTTCTACATGCAAGTTTCGGACCCGGGCGAGCTTGGAGAGATGGACGGTGAACAAAGTCTTGAGCCTAATTAATAGATATTAATAGGGCCTATAGATGTGTGGATTTTGGTGCCTTTTTATGCCTTCAGCCTGCAGTCTTTCCCGAATACTGTGCACTCGGATTGTCCCCCCTCTGAGGTTCTGAGCTGCGGCAAACACAGCCTTCCTCCAACATCTTTCACAAGCTCTGCAAACAGACTCTGCTACTTGTGAGAAAAATCACGATGGACAATGAAGTGCAAGTACAAAGGGCTGATCAGGGGCATCTTCCCCTTTTCTGACACGCAGTTGCTCGGTCAGGTATTGAGAACAAAAGCATGTACTGGGTGTATGCTAAAGATGGATTGTTGACAATCGAAAAGTCAAACTGGACTGGAAGCAAGTATTCAACAGTTTGTTCATAATCTTGTGATGCAGTAACTTGTTGCATTGTTTCCGAGGTTGTTTCCATGTGCCAAGCAGAGGTATTAGTGGCCAGCCATCAGGAAAGTTACACAAACTCTCTCTCAGGTCAAAAGCCTGCCATCTTGTTCCAATTTCTGGATGTGGATACAGAAGGTACTGGTTCCTCTCACTATACAAATGCAACTCAGCAAAGCACAAGGACGTCAAAAAATAAGCGAGAAATCCATCTTGCCTTATTGAGCTTCTGCAAGAGAGCCGGTAGCTGACTCCTGTCGGATTTCTGTTCAATGTTGTGATGAGTCCTGTATTCCTTTGCAATTCTGTCAAATATTGTCTGCCGAAGCGAAGTAACAAACACGGATGCAATTCGGAGCTTGTTGCCTGTATGTTCAACGCGGAGGTGTTGCTTCTGGCAAGGTCCTCGAGAAGTTGCAAGCAGCTGGACATGTCTGCTCGTCCGAAATTGTATGTGCGGTCATAAGTCATGAAGTATCACTTTCGTAAATATCTGCACAAATTGCGGCAAAGAAAGGGAGGGCCCAAAAACATCAAAAACCTGATAGAAAGGGGGATGAATAAGTCCAGGTTGCTAGGAATGATACTTTATCAAACAGAACAGCGACAAAATTGTGAGAAGCACAACCACAAGCATGAAAAACAAACACAATGCCAAACACCAATGGCAACTATCACATTCTACGTGTCTCGTCACGCAAAAACAAAAACCAGCACCAGCACCAGAACAACAACAGAACAACAACAGCAACAACAACAACAACAACAGCAACAACAACAACAACAACAACGACCACGACCACGACCACGACCACGACCACGACCACGACCACGACCACCAACAACAACAACAACAACAACACCAACACCACCCCCAACACCACCAACAACACCGCCACCATTAGCAGCAGCAAGCGCAGTGACAGTAAGAGTAACAGCAGCAGAAGAAACAAAAGCACATAAGAACAAAAGAACAAAAGAACAAAGACAACAAAAACAATTAAACAAATTGGAAAGAAAGGAAAAACAAAAGTATCATCAGCGAAATGCCAAGACCGGTGTCAATGCCAAGATTCCCAAGGTCGGGATGGCGAGAACTGAAAACCCTTCAGGAAAGAGGCTTGGGATGTGAGGACTTATGACTTATGGGAGCTGAGAACACGAAAACTTGAAGCTGCGGGCACAATTGCTGTAACCCTGACTTCACACATATACCAGCCAGGGCATGCTTGGATCCAAGCAGAAATGACTCCAGCCTCCGGATCAAAATCCGATCCAGTGCGAAGAGGTTGCCACGCCAATCGCAAAAAAAGTCTCTGCAAAGTTGACTTTCTCAAACATTTCTAAAAACTGTCTCAAAGGTGCAAAGGCGCAGGCATAGAGTCGTTCCAGGCGCGCCACATGACGTGGGCCGTCGCACAGGACAGACCTTCGAGCTCAGTTCAGACTGGAACAAAACGCTCCGAACAGCGAGTCTATACACTACTTCTTGCATCGTCAAGGCATGATATGTGAGGTATGCTCATCCATCCCGGAATGAGATCGTAATAGCAGGTATATGAAATCCCTTTCAACGGATTCATGACCGTCCAACAATTTGGGCAATTTACACAAGTTTTGAACATGTATTTTTGTGCATTTGCTGTCGCAGGAAGTGATTGGCTTCGAGGCCGCCTCAACATGCGTGTCCTCAAGCCAGCTCGCAACGCAGCGAGTCGAGGCAAGTTTTTTGCACAAGCCGCAGCCTGGAGAACTTCAGCTTTGAAAGATTCTATATATTGTTGAAACAACAGGTCTTTATGGCGTCTATGGGTCACAGATCCATGAAATGAGAGAAAGCAGTTCATCAGGGCAGCAGGATGCAGCAGGTTAAAGCCTACTTGGGACATGCTCAGAATTCGTGGCAGTGGCATGGAACAGTCGTGTGGCACACACTCTCTTGTTACAGTAACCATTTTTGCCTTTTCTTCACATGGTCGTGTATGTGTGTGTGTGTGTTTTGCACAGAGGAAGACATCAATGTGGATGGAGGAACTGTGAGCCCTGCACACATGGCTGGCTCCATTGACAGACGATCAGGCCTGCTTAACAAAATCCTCCTCAGTTTCAGTGACCAAGTCCTCAGGGTGTGTTCAGGACCCGGTCAGGAAGAATGGCCGGTCTGTGTCACTTGTTGCATCTTGAGATTTGGTTCATTACTCTCTGAGCAACTCAGGTTGGTGCACCCAACTGAACAGCTGAAAGCAATGAAGCTCCAACATTCTGTGCCTTGGAATCAACAAACCACGCCACCACTGATGTCACAACAGGCCGTCAGTTGGACAAAAAAAGAATGCCTGTGTTGAGACAAGGGGCAACCCCAACACTGGCAGGAACCATTTTCAGCTAAGCTCTGTGCATGAATACCTCGTCCTTTGAGCGTAACCACTGGAACTCCCATGTAAAGTGCCTTTACACAAGGAAGGGAAGCTCATGAAATGCCAACATAAGCTTGCTCTTTTGTGCACAGGGCAGAACATAATTGAGCCTCACAAGTAGTAGTCGTGCCAGCATATGGGGCGGTATCCAAAGCCACATCGATAAAGCCTCACAGAAAAGCGTTTCCAGTACCGTCGCAGTAAGCTTGATGGTGTCTTTGGGCTTTGACAATTTTGGGCCCGGACTGTACATGTGAAGGTGGCTGCCTGTTTGTGGCTGCAAGCCAGTCCTCAGATTTGCTATCAGCAAGTCTCTGTGTGCACATGCAGCTACCCAGGTACCAAGCACCGGGCAAATCCAGACGAGAAGCCTGAATTCCATGCCTGTCTCAGTCGGGATTGAGAAAGGTCGAGAAATCAGCACTCTATGTTGCAATTTTCGAGTCCTCACAACCAAAAAGGTGTACATTCTTGTGTTGAGCCAAGCAACACTGCAAAAGCAGCCCGCATCTTGTCCTGCACTTTGGGGCACGCTAGGGCCTGCAAGGAGCGCGGAGAGCTGCAGAGTTTCAAGACATATTCGGTGTGTTGTCTTGATTGACTTCTGGTGGATGGGCCTTGGATTTCACGAAGAGGCGAGAGCCTGGCACCTTAGCCAACGTCTCCTAGTCCACCAACATTAGTTTCCGGGCTCTGCGCAACGATGCATAGACGCATATCGTACATACATACATTCCAGTCCAGTCCATGACTATTTTAGTCCATTCCATTCCGTACCATACAGTACATTACATACAAGCACATACCGATGGACCGACCTTATACCTCCATACCTACCATACCTACCATACCCTGCCTACCATACCCTACCCTACCCTACCATGCCATACATTACAGTACATTGCATTACATTGCAGTAGATTACATTACATCCATACATGTTCATACACGTACATGCACTGCCTTGCCTCATGCAAGAGCTTGCTCCACATTCTGATAGTTAGGCTGCTGACCTACAGAACGCAACAACTTGGCCAAGTCCAAATGGGCAAACTTCCAGACATCATTGAAACCTCTGTACTGACTGGATGGAAGAAATCACGCCTTCGCAAGATTGTTGAAGCATCCAAAGGTAATGCACCCGTAGGATTCCTGCGCAGGCCTCAGTCATCCCTTGGATGCTTGGCAATGCGTGGTAGCAACAGTAACCTCAACTCAACAACTTCTGCTACCAAGCTGCTTCAGCACCACGGGTGGTGCAGTCTCTGGGGGCGTATAGCACAAGAAGCATTCCTGGTGTGCTGAATTCGTCATTGTGAATTGGCATGGTTGCACTGCCAACATGTTCATTTGCAAACCACCAGCAACAGTCCGGCAGGTAGAGGATCTTTTCCGTTGTGAGGCCTCCATTCCAAGAAAATCCCAGGGCACATTGACAAGGGGCATAGCAAGGCAGAAAATGATGCCAAGCTCCACCTGGAGCATCCTTTGGATCCGCGAACCTCAACAGGAAATGACACGAGGCTCACCAAAGCGAACCAAAAGGCACGCACGGCCACGGCCAGTTGGGGCCACCACTCGTCTGAGATTCTGTAGTCCATTCGGGTCAGCCCAGTGGTGTGAGGGTAGCCAATCCAGGTGATGCAAACCTGGCACGAAAACAACCTTGAAGTCACTTGAAGTCATTGAAGTGTTGATCGACATCTCGACCTTGCGCAAAAAAATGAGCAAACCTGCTGGGAAGGCTGGTGCAGGCTTTCTGGCAAAGACTCCCAAGCGGTTGTTGCCAGTGTGTCCAGTCAAATCCACCAGGATGTCGATACCATCCTTTTCGAATTGAATGGAATTGGATTCTTGGAGTTGCAGGCCCTTTGAACATAGGAGAATTTACGTCTGAGCTCAGGACATCGTAAATCAGCTTTGCGACCTGGGAATCATACTTAAGAACGAAGGTCCAGAGCAATTCTGTTGTGATTCACCTTTTATATCATTTATATCCTTTATGACTTTTATGACTCTGCAAATGGTTCTCTCCTGTACCAGCCATCGTCAACAATGAGATCGTGAAATAACGTGTTTCAACGGGTACCAGGGAAGCCTACCTCATCATCTCTGCGGCCACAAATGGTCCGCCATTGCGGCACCAGTTCTTTGAATTGTCTGGTTTTGTCATCCTCCAGCGCGACGTCACTGTAACCTTCAAAAAATGAGACGACTGACATCAACTGACCATGTGCAAACATTTGTGCAAACATTGCAAAGATTTGATGAACAAACAAAAAACAAACAAAGTGCTGGGTCATCTGCATGTTACAGCAACGAACGCTGGATCATGATACTTCAGGGCAGAATGGATGAAGTAGGAGACCTGAGTGAGCACTGCACCAAACTGGACCAAACCAATGCTTGATCTGTGCACCAAACCAATGCTTATCCCGGGCTCAATGAACGGTAAGGTCGATGCTGAGTGAGAATAGAAGTCGGGTGAAATGTAGCCCACGCGTAGGGGGCCAGAGTTTCCCCTCGCCCCATCCCAGCTGAAGACCTCAACGGTCTCACTGCAAGTCCAAGCTGCACTGTTCTGTCCCTCATATATCTTCAACCTATGGAGCCATTGCCAATGCCTAGAAACTGAAAGGAAGGACTGGAACTTGCAGAAAACAGAGCTGGCGAAAGATCTCAAGAAGAAAAAAGGGGCAGAACATGACATGACAGAAGAGAACAGTCTGCAACTTAAATGGTATCAACATTTTAAAAAGAAAATGCACGTGGTTGCAAAATGTTACGTCCCTACACCTTGTGATCCGGCAGAAAAAGGGCAACTAGATAACTAGACTGAACGCAAATACCCAAGAGTTTTAGGCTGGCATTAAATAACATTGCTGCCAACACGGATACTGGACACCAAACCAAGGAGAGACGAGGACGCCAAGCAGTAAGAGATGAAAAAGAGAAAACAGACACGCGGCAAGATAAACGCTGCGAAAGACGTAGCAAACGAATTTGCTCCAAATAGGAGAAAGCATATCTTAGAGAACCTTGAGCTGCCTGCAGAAAAAAATATTTATGAAGCAAAAAAAACTCGTGTACCGTCTCAATGCTTTGAGCGGCGGACCTGGCTGACGCTGCTTTCCACGCAGCTTCCCCAGCTTCTGTGAGCCTGCAAGTATCCATAACATGCTTCCACAGCCGCTTTTGAGTTCTTCACGGAATCAAATATGGATTTTTTAAGTTTACTGTAGTATAAAAGTATGACTCTGATGTACGTAGTATAGATTACTTATCATTAAAAGGGCGTAAGCATTGACCTTTCCACTAGATAGCTTAGAGGAAACAAAGATCTCTCATGATTCTCATGGTGTCGCCTCAAACACCTCTTCCCTTGATCGCTCAGACTGATAGTTCAGGGACATGAGTCGGTTGGAACCGGCATGTCGACTCCTGTCACCGAACATGGCATCAAAAATCAGTAACGCAATATTATTCAATAAGACTCAAGAGACTCAAAAAAGGGCAATTAGCCAGGCTGACTCAGGTTCCAAACCTGGGATCCAGCCGGATTCAGCATGAAGCAGAATCAAAGTCAATCACATTGCTTGTTGAGCAAGGAGCTGATGCAAATGTCCAAGTTCTCCAGGCAGGCATCGACATCCTTAAGAGAAACAAGATACCCAGTCTCTGTTTCGCTAGAAAACAACATTGAATCAAAATCAAAACAGCAAACAAGATCGTTCAAGACTGGTTTGCTACCAAAGTTCACACTGATCTCTCAGCAGAAGTGCCAGATTGTTGTAGGCCTTCAGATTCTGATGTCTGCAGAATCCAAACGTTCAAGGCTAAACGCTACAGCTGCGCACTCCCATTATGGGATCCACAAATGTCGTGCCTTTTTGAGCAAAATCAACTTACACAAGCCATCCAAGCAGAACGAACAAAAAACAATGTGTTGGCTTTGATAGAAAATCGTTGTGGGTGTGAACATGCATCTGGTTGCCTTAAAGTGCAATCTCCGCACAAACACTTCCAACACTTCATGTCACACCGTATCGACTCTCGTGGCATTAGTGTGGCACCCACGAGGCTTATAACTTTATAACACTGGCTAGCAGCACCCCATAGCACCGGCTGCAGCAGCAACACCCACCCCATGCCGCGCACACGTGGTACCCATGACAGGGGTCGATGGTCAGCGCAGAGACTACGCTAGCAACAGACCCCAAATTTTGAATGTCACAGCAATACACAGAACCTGAAATTAACTACAAGCATCTGATATTATCTGATTATATCTATATAGGTGGGGAAAGAAAATGGCTTCAGGTGCGCCACATGTTGAGCAGCAAACGTCTGCACATGATCCCCTTGCGAGTTCTGGGAAATCTCTGAAGAAGGTCTCTTGAAGATCTTTGCAAGACGTCTGCACTTGATCCCTATTCAAGCTGCTTGAAGCTCTTTTCAGGGGCCCTGCCAGATCCGTCCACAAGATCTCTCGACTGAAGGCTCTCCGTGAGATCTTTATAGAAGATATCTCCAAGAAGATCTCTCCAAGACTCTAATGACAGCTCTCTACAGGATCTGTCCAGGGCCTGGGCGTTTACAAGCTCTTTAAGATGAGACGATTTGGTAGCAGACTTTCAGAAAGACTTCACCAGTGTCTCTGCAATATCTTTATCTGAAATATGTTCAGACCTTTGGAAGGCGTTCGTGCGAGAACTCAATTGTTTCGGATCTCTGCTAGAGATCTGAATAAAATCTCTGTGCATAACCTGACCTCATTTATGATCTCTGCGAAATCACAAAAACAAGATCTGTGCAGAGTGTCTCTGCTGGATTCCTACCAGATCTGAGTACAAGATTTCTGTACAATCTCTAGAGACCGGACAGTTTGGAGAAAGAATGACAGCCTTTTTCTGGCAGTGGATGCATACAGGATGCATGCCCATGCACAATTTGTTACATCCAATAGATAGATAGATAGATAGATAGATAGATAGATAGATAGATAGACAGATAGATAGGTAGATAGATAGATAGATAGACAGATAGATTGATGGATGGATGGATAGACAGATAGATAGGTAGACAGATGGATAGATGGATGGATGGATAGGTAGATAGATAGATAGATAGATAGCTAGATAGCTAGATAGCTAGATAGCTAGATAGCTAGATAGCTAGATAGCTAGATAGCTAGATAGCTAGATAGATAGATAGATAGATAGATAGATGATATGATATAATGTAACGTAATGTAATAGAATGTGATATACACATACAATGTGATATAATACAATGTAATATGATACAATAATATAATATCATATAGTATAGTGTGGTGTAATGTGATGTGATGTGATGTGATGTGATGTGATGTGATGTGATGTGATGGAATACAATGCAATACAATACGATACAATACACACATACACACATATCAGATTACTTGGTTTTAATTTTATATACAGGAAAGGTTGTTTGATGTCCAGACTTTCTCCACGTCAACAGCTGGAAAGAGAGCCGCAGCCCATGCCTCTGCATCTTGTCTGTTGGAGTCGATTGCAACTCGTGTAAGTCGGATCGCATCATCCTTTCGTGACACAGCGAAACATTCTGAAGCCATAGCCTTTCATGTCATTCAATTGAAAGCCAGGCGCGCCATTCGCCCCATTGAGCCATAAATGGCCCCCAGGTTCTTGCTTGCCAAGTTCATCTTGCTGTCAACCTGGCGCCCCGAAATATGCACATGGTCCCCATACACGGCACGGGTACTGAAGCAAATTCAAAAATACTAAAAATGCTAGGAATCTGACAACACAAAAGTCAGACCCTTCCTAAAATCACTGTTTCTCCAATTTTCAAAACTTCAGCTGCCAGTCCTTGGGCATGGCACAACATCCTAGCCTGGAAATTCTAGCATTAATTTGCAGCTTCCCAAGAGCTCATGGGACCTCAGCTATCTCAGGCCTCCAGTGCACTTTCGAAGCATTTCATGGCTGCTTCAGGATTTCCCAGTCGCCTAGTCGCAGACAACGACTCAAAACTGCAAGTCCAGACTTCTTCTCACTAAAACTATTCGACTGAAGTGGGGAATGCATTCACAATCATTGACAATGTACATCCAAAGACAATCCAACAAGGCTTTTGCACGTTCAAGATGCGTTGAGAGGACACACTCTGTTGTGTCCAATGGAGCTAATTTTGGCGCTTCCTTCGGATTTGCCAACGGTGCATTGGCTGGAACTCTGCAACTCAAACTCGAGCAGCATTTCCACATCTGAGCAATAGAACTTAGTGATACTTCAAATCACCAACACAAAAAACCCATCAAAAACCGAAAACAAAGTTTTGCTCTTGAACAAATCAACCGAAAAATGGAAGAGCAAAGTTTCCTGAGTTCAGTTGCTGAAGCCGGCTCTCAGGAAGGATAGCAGGTGCTTGCAGAACAATCGCGGTCAGCTTTTGCTGCCGGGGACCCCTCAGATGAGTGTTGGATATCTTTCAATCAGGGCATGCAGAGCAAGAAAACATTGGTTATCTGACTTACCTACACTTGCATGATTGTAACTGCGAGAATTGTACTTAATGAGAGAAATGAAGATTCTGATTGCTGCACGGTCTCTGTGCATTGATTGTTCCGGACGAACTGGGTGTTGGCGTGCATGCACGTGGCCGGCAGCCTGTAAGTCCCGCACAACTAGAGGGGTAAGCTGGCTATAGTTGGCTGTATTTTCCAAAGTCAGAGGACCGTAAACTGAATGCTGGGCGAGCAACGAGCATCTCGAAGCAATGGATGCGCTTCCATCGCCTACTGTGGGTTTGTCGTTTACAGCAGCTACAGCACTTCAGAAACAGTCCAAGACAACATGAAGTTTTCAGAAACTAAATAGGCCGGGAACGTATCAAGATACCATGTAAGGTCTCAACTTCACACCGGGACATCTCTTCAAATTATAGGAATCCACCAAAACAAGTGCTTGTCAAATAACGAAACAATGGACAAAACAATGGCAACATAGGAACTTTGCAGCACAGATCATACTTTATGTTCGCAGTACACTCATAGAAAGCAAAGTATAGTTCGTTTCGGAGACAAGGTATTTGAATCTCCCGCGACAAGTCACAACAAAATGGCTGAAAAACTGGACCAGTCACTACTCCGACCTGATGTCTGCTTCAATCCTCGCTTGGAAGCAGCTGGCTTGTAGATATCCTCAACCTGGCAACTGCAGCATAAAATTCCGTTTCCTTCAGTCAGAAAGCAAAACATAATTATCGAAGGAGGTTTAGAAGTCAAAATTCCGGCAATATGGACAAATGAAAAGCAGAGATGGGAAGAGTCAGAGAAGAGAAGAGAAGAGAAGAGAAGACAAGAGAAGAGAAGAAGAAAGAAGATCAAAGAAGAGAAAGTCAGAAGAAAGAAGATCCATGCACGCGAAAAGTTAGGAAAGTCGCGACCCACTGTGTTTTTCCCGAGAGCGTCTGAGTGCAGGGTTCTTCCAATAGTGGGGGTCTGTAAAAACATTTTCTCATCTTCACATCTTCTCATCCTCACATCTTCACATTTTCACATCCTCACATCTTCACATCTTCTCATCTTCACATCTGCTCATCTCCCATCTTCTCATCATCACATCTTCTCATCCTCACATCTTCTCATCTTCGCATCTTCTCGTCTTCACATCTGGTAATCTTCACATCTTCTCATCTTCACATCTGGTATAATCTTCACATCTTCACACATCTGCTCATCTTCACATCTTCTCATGCTCACATCTTCACATCTTCACATCCTCACATCTTCACATCTGCTCATCTTCACATCTTCTCATCTTCACATCTGCTCATCTCCACATCCTCACATCTTCACATCTTCTCCTCTTGCCCTCTTGCCCTCTTGCCCTCTTGCCCTCTTCCCCTCTTGCCCTCTCCTTCTTTTCCTCACATCTTCATATCTTCTCCTCTTGCCCTCTTGCCCGTCTTGCCCTCTTGCCCTCTTGCCCTCTCCTTCTTTTCTATTTCTCTTTTGAAGGCGGGGGGCAGTGCCAACGAGACGGCACGAAACGCAACCCTTTCGCACGAAATGAGGTTCCATCGCCAAAAGCTGAGGTAAAATTGCGATTTCAACTTGTCCCGCGCAACCCTTTCGCACGAAATGAGGTTCGATCGCCAAACTGAAGTAAAATTGCGATTTGCAAGTCGTCCCGCGAACCCTTTCGCACGAAATGACGTCCGATCGCCAAAAACTGAAGTAAAATTGCGGTTTCAAGTCGTCCCTCTTGTCCCGCGAACCATTTCGCACAAAATGAAGTTCGATCGCCAAAAACTGATGTAAAATTGCGATTTCAAGTTGTCCCGCGCAACCCTTCCGCACGAAATGAGGTTCGATCGCCAAAAACTGCGGCAAAATTCCGATTTCAAGTCGTCCCTCTTGTCCCGCGAACCATTTCGCACGAAATGAGGTTCGATCGCCAAAAACTGAGGTAAAATTGCGATTTCAAGTTGTCCCGTGCAACCCTTTCGCACGAAATGACGTTCGATCGCTGAAAACTGAGGTAACATTGCGAATTCCAAGTTGTCCCGCGCAACCCTTTCGCACGAAATGAGGTTCGATCGTCAAAAACTGGGGTAAAATTGCGATTTCAAGTCGTCCCGCGCAACCCTTTTGCACGAAATGAGGTTCGATCGCCAAAACCTGAAGTAAAATTGCGATTTCAAGTCATCCCTCTTGTCCCGCGAACCCTTTCGCTCGAAATGAGGTTGCGTCTGAGGTTGTGTCTGTGTGTAAAAGCGTCTATGTGTAAAACTGTCTGTGTGTAAAAGCGCCTGTGTGTAAAAGTGTCTGTGTGTAAAAGTGTCTGTGTGTAAAGGTGCCTGTGTGTAAAAGCGTCTGTGTGTAAAAGCGTCTGTGTGCAAAAGTGTTTGTGTGTAAAAGTGTCTGTTTGTACAAGTGTCTGTGTGTAAAAGCGCCTGTGTGTAAAAGTGTCTGTGTGTAAAAGTGTCTGTGTGTAAAAGTGCCTGTGTGTAAAAGCGTCTGTGTGTAAAAGCGTCTGTGTGTAAAAGCGTCTGTGTGCAAAAGTGTTTGTGCGCAGGAGTGTTTGTGTAAAAGTGTCTGTGTGTAAAAGTGTCTGTGTGTAAAAGCGCCTGTGTGTAAAAGTGTCTGTGTGTAAAAGTGTCTGTGTGTAAAAGTGCCTGTGTGTAAAAGCGTCTGTGTGTAAAAGCGTCTGTGTGTAAAAGCGTCTGTGTGCAAAAGTGTTTGTGTGCAGGAGTGTTTGTGTGTAAAAGTGTCTGTGTGTAAAAGTGTCTGTGTGTAAAAGCGCCTGTGTGTAAAAAGTGTCTGTGTGTAAAAGTGTCTGTGTGTAAAAGTGCCTGTGTGTGTAAAAGCGCCTGTGTGTAAAAGTGTCTGTGTGTAAAAGTGTCTGTGTGTAAAAGTGCCTGTGTGTAAAAGCGTCTGTGTGTAAAAGTGTCTGTGTGTAAAAGCGTCTGTGTGCAAAAGTGTTTGTGTGCAGGAGTGTTTGTGTGTAACAGTGTCTGTGTGTAAAAGTGTCTGTGTGTAAAAGCGCCTGTGTGTAAAAGCGTCTGTTTTTAAAAGCGTCTGTGTGCAAAACCGTCTGTGTGTAAAAGCCTCTGTGTGTAAAAGCGTCTGTGTGTATAAGCGTCTGTGTGTAAAAGTGTTTATGTGTAAAAGTGTCTGTGTTTAAAAGCTTCTCTATGCTTCTTTGTGTGTGTAAAAGCTTCTTGGTTTAAAAGCTTCTGTGTGTAAAAGCGTCTGTGTGTAAAAGCGCCTGTGTGTACAAGCTTCTGTGTGTAAAAGTGCTGTCTGTAAAAGCGTCTGTGTGTAAAAGTTCTGTGTGTGAAGAAACTATACGAAAGATACGATGCAAACTATTGTCTGGTGTTTGTGATATAATGTCTTAATACTACTCTTCTCGTCTGCCTACTATACATCTTTAATATATTGTCTTCTAATATAATGTTTCCATACTTGCACCAGAAGGCTCTGCTCCTCTACGCTCTCGGGCCAACCGTCGTCTAGTTTCCAATGGTTTGTGGCTCCGGAGGGTCCAAAAGTAGGCTCGCTAAAGCAGCGGGCGCGGAGCCATCTGGCCAGATGAGAGATGAATAGTTGCACACCGTTGTGGCCCGAAACACCTTTCCAAATCAAAATGTACAAAGCACACCACACTCGGACCACTTTTGGAAGTTGACATGTCGAAAAATTGCACGCCGTTGTGGCCCGAAGCACATTTCGAAATCAAAATGCACAAACCACCTGAGCTTCGGAGCACTTTTAGAAGTTGAGATGTCGAAAAAGTGCACGCTGTTGTGGCGCGAAGCACATTTCGAAGTAAAAACGTACAAAACACACCAGCCTTGGAGCACTTTTGGAAGATGACATGTTCAAAAACTGCACGGCGTTGTGGCGCCAAGCACATTTCGAAGTCAAAATGTTAAAAACCGCACGGTTGAGATGTCAAAAAAGTGCACGCCGTTGTGGCGGGAAGCACAATTCCAAATCAAAAGTGTAAAAAACTGACGGGTTTTCGGAGCACTTTTTGACGTTCAGATGTCGTTTTGCGTGGCAGGCGCAAGGGATTCGGTATCTTCTCAAAAGTGAGCAAAACGTAGGGTTTTGCATTTCCAAAAAACGATGGCAGGCGTGGGATATTTGAAGAGGATCTGCAAAGATGCATTTCGCATGGCCAGTGCAGTACAAGAGACATGTTCATCAGAGATAGATAGTTCGACAGTCCAACGATCTTTCGGTCCATCAATGGATTCGCTCTAACATCCGTGATTCACAACAACCAATCTCTCCTATAGGTTTTCTATTTTTGAAACTTCCGCCTCCGCCTTGTGCGGTACTACTGGTAGGCTATAATTCATAGGGCCTCAAGCAATGCGGCACGTCCGCGAAGACTGTCTCGAGGGCCCTCTATTCTTTTTTGAAAATGAATAGACCTAAGTTGGTGGGATGGAAGTAGGGACAATATGTCAATAGCACAATACTGTATGCAAACATGTGTAACCGCTCAGTATCTGGCGAAGCATTGGCGGTGGCATTGCGGACAGTGAGCAAGCTTGGAAACTCGCTAGCTGCTTCGCTGGCACGCTGAGCATGTCCAGCATATTTTGAGGGTCGCGCTCGCTCTGAGCTGTCCATCTTTTTTGATTGACAGGCTTGGAAGTTGTGGGACACAGCTGCGGACCACAGAAACACGGGAGCAACTGCAGCAACTGCAGCAACAGCAGCAACTGCAGCAACAGCAACATCAATTGTTTTGACATGGGTCAACCATGTTTTCTCCGGTCATGCTTGTTGAAAATGAGCCTTATGTCGTTTCGAGAACATCCCGTCAAATACTCTCTGTTGCTGGCCTGTGGATCACTCCCAGGTTGTTGTGGGCATTCGCGTGTCTAGGGTCAAAGTTGCTTGCCAACTCGTAGTTGACCTGCCCGGAATGTTTCAGATGTCAAAAGACAAAAACGAATCCAAAAAGTGATGAGCATTTGCGTTTGAACGTACCCCTGCTAGCCTGTGACCTATGTCAAGAAATAATGGAGAAAGACGAATATAGACAGACCAGGAGCCAATGTCAGGAAACCATTCACTGAAGATGCCACAGCAGCCACAATAGTTCAGATTTGGATTTGCAGCCTACACTGGGAGAAATGGGTAGCTTTGGAAGAGACACAATAGGCTCAGGCAAGGACTAAAGAAATGGGCCCTGTTCGAGGTGGGTCACAGGCTTCAGAGTGTGCCCTCACAAAATCCGCCCGCACAAAAGGTGCCGAGGAGTTTTTTAGTTGGCACGCATGATCCCGAAGCAATTGCAATAGCTATTGAGCTTTAGCTTGGGGAAATCAGCTGGTTTTTCTGGAAAGGTCGTGAAATCGGCTGTTGCTAAAACTTGGGCTCAAAATGGCCCAACATGGGCCCAACATAGACCCAACATACTTGAGATGTGGATTCACGTTTCTTGGCGGCACCCTGCAGAATGCATTAAATTATGGTACGCAGCAGACGAGCTGCTTGCTCTGGTTGCTCGCAGGAGAAAGGAGTTGCAGTGAAGCAACAGAAATATAGGATACAAGTTGGATACAAGTGACTTCAAGCGATACTTCTGTTGCTAAGTCAATTTGGGCACCGTCTTTCGAAAGGCCCCAGCCTTGGCTTGGTCCCACTTTTCCTTCTCAGCATAAAGCACGCCCAGGTTAAAGTAAATATCAGCATTCCTCCAGGTAAGCCAGAGTTTTCCAAAGCACAAATGTCACATCATGCTCAAGGTGACTCAAGGTGCAACCTCAACGATACTCACGCTGCATGCTGCACCTGGAGTTGAAGGAAAGCCCTTGTTTCAGAGCTTTGCCAGCCTCTTTCAGCTCCTGACAACGGCTTCCACAAGTTGCATAAATCGACATGGATCATGGAATATAATATGTAAACAAACGTGGCAATTGAAAATCCTGTGCAAATGCGATTTAAATTGGGAATATCATCTTTAAATCGGGAATTGTCCATTGTCATCTTTGATTGACGGAGGCTAACATATGATATATATGTATATATGACTATAAGATAACATTTGAAGCAAACCCTCACCGATCCGTCCTTCCGCTGCAAGTGACGACACCCCAGCTGAAGCAAAGAGATCGCCATGTTCTCCCGGGTCTTACTGCAGTTTTGATTCACCTTCAGAGGGAACAGGATGTACTTTGAATGACGAGCATCCGAGAGCCATCTGCGAAGCATCGAGCCTTCAGAGCCATGCCGTATGCCTCTATTGCATGCTCCCACTCTCCCAGCTCCCTGCAACCATTGCAAGACATTTCAGAAAGCTGATTCGGCGAGCTTCTCTGCACTCCACACGCGATTCCGTCTTTCTGCGGTGAGAAATGGAAACATAAAAAAGAATAAAAGCCAGGCCTGCAAGCCACGCCAAGATTATTCAGAGCCTCCACGTACCTATTTGTGCAATTCTGCACCTATTGAACACGGAAAAGTCATGAAAAGTCAAGAAAAACCAACATATCGAACACATTACGAACACAGGTTGACCTTCTGCCAAAAAAACAAAAAAGGTTGACCGACGGTTGACCCCATCTGTGAAGGCCAAGGCACCCTGGATGAAGCTGCACCGCTTTTCTGTACATCTCTTTGGCCTTGATGCTGTCATTGACCTGCGCTGCTGGCAGGGCATCCCTTGGTTTCAGCATGCTTCAGCAACCGACAACCAGGAATAGCCAGAGCAGGGTTCTATGTTCTATGATGTTCTATGATGTTCTATGATGTTCTATGATGTTCTATGATGTTCTATGATGTTCTATGATGTTTTATGATGTTCTATGATGTTCTATGATGTTCTATGACTCTGTGACTGCCTCAGAGTAGCAAACACCAAGCTGGAAGAATGCTGGGGCATAGGAGTCGCAAGCCTCCGATGGCAATTGACACACTCGATGTTGAGATGGAAAGCAAACAATTTAAGAAAGTTTAAAGATCAAGACAGAGTTCCGGACAAAGGAGAGTAAGCAAGCATACGCAGGGAGCCCGGCAAAATTGATCAGGAAAAACATAGCAAGAACATGCTGAAGTTGTGCCAAAGTCCCACTGTCGCAATCGAGCTTTGGATAGCTGGACCTGGATTGCTTCGTGAAAAAGTTGAAGATCACCATGGCCGGACGCCTGCAAATCCGCTTAGCCGGCTTAGCCAAACAGCAAATCTTGTTTCAGCAGTACGGAAATTCCATAGCTGACATAGCTGCGGTGGCTGAGGCAATCTGCCCTTGCAAATGTGCTGGTGCAGTGAGTTATCCCGTGCTTAGCATTTTGCCCAGTTCCCCACCTTCAGTTGGATCGCATGTTCGGTGAGGCATCTGGCCAATTCCATCCGAAGTTCCTGTGAACAAAATGACACTTCCAATGTGTTTTGGAGGGAAGCTTTGGGCACCCACCTGCGTCGGCTCAACGCTCAGGGCCTCAAGTTCTAAAGCAATGCCAAAGAAGACAAGGAAGCAAAAAATGCAGAAACGTTCAAGAACTGCCGTATGTGTGTGTGTGTATGTATGCATATCATATAATATAATATAATATAATATAATATAATATAATATATTATAATATAATATAATATAATATATTGTATTATATTATATTTTATTTTATTATATTATATTATGTTCTATTATGTTATATTAAACAATATAATATAATATAATATAATATAATATAACCTAACACAATAGAAGATAATATATCATAATTTAATATAATATAATATAATATAATATAATATCAATATAATAAATATATATATACATATGTTGTAAATATGTATATATATGTTGTAAATATATATATATATATGTTGTAAATATATATATATACACATTGTATATATATATACATTGTATATATATATATATATATGTATATACATTGTATGTATATATATATATATTCTATTATATATATATTGTGTATATATTGTATATATATACAATATATACACAATATATATATATGTTGTATATATATATATACATTGTATATATATATATACATTGTATATATATATATATATACATTGTATATATATATATATACATTGTATATATATATATATACATTGTATGTATATATATATTCTATATTATATATATATATATATTGTGTATATATTGTATATATATATTGTATATATATATTGTATATATATATATATTGTATATATATATAATTATATATATATAATTATATATATATTGTATATATATATATTGTATATATATATATTGTATGTATATATATATATATTGTATATATATATATATTGTATATATATATATTGTATAGTTGTGGAGTCATGTCACACAGAAGGAGGCCTCTCGAAACGAAAGAATTGCGTCATGCCATCTTCGTTGCTTTGCGAGTAGCAAAGCCTGTGCTCCGAAGCCGAGGCAAATCACAGAGGGAGTTGCACCATCTTTCACCAGAACCAGACATGAAATCGGTCTCTGTTAAACAGAAACTCCTGGGACACCAAGTCTTACGAATGCACTATAATTATGAATGCATAATCATCTCTTCGTATCTTCATAGCTTCATGTCTTCATATCTTCATATCGTCATAGTGTCATTCCTTGGCCCTGTTCCTGTCTGTTTGACCATCTAGAATCTAAAGTCTCAACTATGTTGTGCCTTGTTCCGCTGCGCGGAGATGCATTGAGAATCCAGACGCAGGGCAGCCTGAGGAAAGGGTAGAGTGAATCCCTTGGACATGGTATGTTCAACCGCAACATAGTGGCAATTACTCGTATAAAACGCTCGTAACAGTGCACAGTTCTGCCTCAAAGGAAGTCAACGCTTCTTCCAGCTTGTCAAGCTGCATCAAGCACTGGCCTCTCCTGGCTTTCGTAGAATTTGAAACAGATTGTGTTACTGTAATAGTCCACACACTCAAAAAAAGCAAAGGGCACCCCAGGTGCAGCTCTGGCCGATTCGGTTCCAAAAGAAGTGCCTGGAAACGAGGAAATTGGGAGGAAAATTTACTACAAAAGTGGAAAATGTTCCCGAATTTTTCTGTATTTGTGCAGTCGTGGCCTGATCAACAAGAGGGAGTGCATCAGCATACCTCTGGTCTTTCGGAAACCATCGCAAACCAGGTGGAGCGGTGTGGAAATCGCATAAAATCGGTACAATTGGATTGCATTTGGATTGCATTTGGATTGCAGTTGGATTACATTTGGATTACATTTGGATTACATTTGGATTACATTTGGATTACATTTGGATTACATTTGGATTACATTGGCACATGACAAGTGCGACGAGTAATCACATTGTAATCACATTGCCCCACCGAGCGCGTGATGCGAAAAAGTCTGCTCTGCGCGTCAGCTGCCGCACCTAAAGCAGCACCATGATTGGAGAAAGAATGAATCAAATATCGTATAAGTCAAATATAATCAAAATATGAACTGAAAAGAAATTTTGACTTGCACAGCAAACATTCCAGCTGAACCTTCCCTTCCTGCGATTCCATGCGAGGGCTTTTCGGTCCTTTGGAGCTGTCCCCGCACCTGCCAGGCGCATATCTCTAATGGAACAACCATGCCCAAACACTATCAAATACTACCTCTAAAGTTTGATGTCACCACAGCCAAGACTAGTCTACTTTGGCGATGTAAAGCTCTCCCACACAGTTCTTGCACGCAAATTTGGAGTTTTCCTTTGGCCAACATGTCGTGATTCGTGCATCCCCGAACTGCTTAACATGTGGGGTACACAAAAAAAATGCTAAATAGGCAACAGTGACTTCAAGAATGTTGCCTTGAGCAACTATCCTGCAATGAGTCACGTTTCTCTGTCCTATCGCACTCAGAACTCACCAGCCATGCAAAGACCTGAAAGGTGCGAATTTCCTCACCACCGTGGAGCCTGTCGGGGAAGGTGGAAGTTTCCATAAGTAGTATTTGTCGGCAAAGGCACTTGCCAGGATTGCCAAGAGCGATGGATTTGAGGTTCGTTTGGAAACTGCCACATTGTAGCTCTTCCACTTGCAAATGGTCTCTTCCTGTCTTCTCTGCGCAGTTTTTCTCGCTTGGCTGAAGCAGCTGATGAAGATCCGGACCTTTTGGATGCAAGCGATCCTGTTGAAGGCCGACGATCAAGGTTCAACCCCCAAGTCAAAAGGGGTGCTGACTGCACCCTTGGCAAAGTGTGCTCTTCAGGCGGGCTATGGTAAAATGCGAACTGTGGTAGGGCAGTATGTTGGAGACTGCGCCCATACGAATCAGCAATCACACATTTTGCAGTGTTGGCAGTTGCGGAAGGGTCACCTCCACCTCGCCTACCCAGATTTAGTTCCAAAGGTCTATGCCCAGCTCCACTTGCAGACCACAGCCCAGACATCCCGACACCAACTCCACCCACTTACTTTGATCTGGAAACAGCTTCGAACACCCTAATCCGTCAGATCCATGATATGTTTTTTTCAATTTAGATGCGCGTTTTTTTCACTCCACGATCACTGACCATAAAATTTGAAGGACAACAAGCAAATCAAACAGGGCACCCCTTGGAATCAGCAATTTTGTCGAACTGCTCGGCATCTGCCTGGCGACAGCACAACAATTTTGCAAGATCACCAATTCCTATGTCAATCGAGCCTCCGCGCCACCACTTTGATGCTTCATAAGTGGCTGAAAATTTTCACAACAAGTATTCCAAGCATCACTGCTGTTGGCTGTCTACATGTTAGAATACTGATGACTGGCTAATGTTGAACACAGCGGTAAAGATATTGCAAAATCCGCAAGAATCCTATCTGGGAAATAGAATCAATGGTGCTGCTGCAACTGGTTGCTAGTTGGGAATGGAAAACATTTGGACCTTTCCATTTGGTTTGTGCAAAATTTTGGCCCGTGTTAAAGGTGTTCTATCCGGATCGGGCCAGAAAAGTGACAGGTGCAAATTTACCTGTGCAAACATGTTTCGCACGCAATATGTTTCAACACAAACGAACCAAAAAATTTGTTCCTACGTCCTTGAACCACAGAAAAAAAAAACAAAGAAGGATACCAAAGGCACTTCAGACAATAAGTTTCTCACGCAATGAGTTTCAACGATCAGAAGCACGGTCTTTTTATCGGGGGAAACTCAATGTCGAAAGGTTCGGATTCCTTTGGCGAAATTTGTACAGTCGGAGATGCCATTTTGATGTCACCGGGGATCCTTCGGATAGGAGTTGTTACCAGCAAGGATGGCACCGAGGCATTGGATCGGTTTCCATTCCCTCCTGTCCCTGCTGTAGGATCAGGGAGGGGGTGGGGTCAATTTTTTTTGAGAATATGGTTTTTGTCCATGCATGATCATGTCAACTGCCATTGCGAATGTTGAAACACTTTGACAATTCAGAAACATGACATGGACAAAATTCGAACTTTGTTGTTCATGTCGCCTTCTCTGTTGAAGGTCTTTTAGCCAAAAGGGCAACCACATCCTATAATGAAACATGTCATGAAATCGTGCGGCAATTTCTCACATGCCCAAACTGAATCATCGCATGCTAGAATTTTTTTGGAATGCAGTATACACAATTGGAGCCAGTTCTCAAACTGTTTGAAAGTAGCCTATTTCCAGGGGGATTTCCTCGTTATTGCATCAGAAATTGTTCAAAGTTTTCGGTCCAAGAAAGTGCTATCCACGTTGTGTAAATTCCCTTGTTGTCCCTATGTCCTTGAACCCCAAAAAAAAACCAAAGGAGACCAAAGGCACTTCAGACAATAAGTGTCTCATGTAATCAGCTTCAACGATCAGCAGCACGGTCTTTTTATCAGGGGAAACTCAATGTCGAAAGGTTCGGATTCCTCTGGCGAAATTTGTACAGTCGGAGTCGGAGATGCCATTTTGATGTCACCGGGGATCCTTCGGATAGGAGTTGTTACCAGCAAGGATGGCACCAAGGCATTGGATCGGTTTCCATTCCCTCCTGTCCCTGCTGTAGGGTCAGGGAGGGGGTGGGGTCAATTTTTTTTGAGAATATGGTTTTTGTCCATGCATGATCATGTCAACTGCCATTGCGAATGTTGAAACACTTTGACAATTCAGAAACATGACATGGACAAAATTCGAACTTTGTTGTTCATGTCGCCTTCTCTGTTGCTATAATGAAACATGTCATGAAATCGTGCGGCAACTTCTCACATGCCCAAACTGAATCATCGCATGCTAGATTTTTTTTGGAATGCAGTATACACAATTGGAGCCAGTTCTCAAACTGTTTGAAAGTAGCTTATTTCCAGGGGAATTTCCTCGTTATTGCATCAGAAATTGTTCAAAGTTTTCGGTCCAAGAAAGTGCTATCCACGTTGTGTAAGTTCCCTTCTTGTCCCTATGTCCTTGAACCCCAAAAAACACCAAAGGATACCAAAGGCACTTCAGACAATAAGTGTCTCATGTAATCAGCTTCAACGATCAGCGGCACGGTCTTTTTATCGGGGGAAACTCAATGTCGAAAGGTTCGCATTCATTTGGCGAAATTTGTACAGTCGGAGATGCCATTTTGATGTCACCGGGGATCCTTCGGATAGGAGTTGTTACCAGCAAGGATGGCACCGAGGCATTGGATCGGTTTCCATGCCCCCTTCTATCAACCGACCTGCCCCATTTTTGCTGTTTTCACTAACCAATCTACTACTGTGGCCTGACATCTGAAGCCTCTGATGAACCTGGCTTTCCAGATGAAAGCGGCCGCTTCTCCCTCGAATCTGGATGGCTCATCATTCGGGTTGCTCTTGCTAGGAACCCTTTCAATCCACCAAAAAGACGGATGATGGACCTCAACTCTATGGAGTAAAAGCCTTTGATGAGGTCGTCCATGAATGGGCTATTGGACCTGCCTTTGACAACTCCCCCTCTGGCTGAATTGTTGTCCACAAAAAAGCAACACCCGCCTGTTAGCCAGTTCTGCTTGCCACTCCCATCTCACCAGGACCATGGTGAACAACTCAATCTGGCAAATCCAGTGATCCCCCGCCAAGTCCTTCCATAGATCTAGGAGACAAGCATGAACCTGATCCAGTCTGATGCCTGACAACTGACGACTCATCAAAGAGAACAGCACCTATACCTGCCACGCTATTTTCCCAAGACCCGTCCGTGAAAACTAAGATGATACGGGTGTCTAAGCTTACTGGGATTGTCCTGGGTTGGACGCTCTCAAGCAGGAGGAGCACATCGTTACACCAACTCTGGAGGCAACCGAGGCTGGAATCCCTCACAGATGCCCCTTTCCAATTCCGACTGTCCCGTAGGCGATTCAAAGCTAGTTCCACTCTCACTGGCCCCCTCTGCATACTTCCACGCAAGCTCGGCTGGTGGTCGAGAAGACGGAAAACGATGTCCTGGATATCCTGGATCAACTGGATAAATCCCTCTGGCTCTTGATGGCAACTCTCCCGCAGACAAAGCCGGAGGTGGCACTCCATACATGGCTGGTGTCACAGGGGCTGCTGGGGCCTTTGCGGCAGCTGGAACTGCTGAAGCCACTGGGATTCACTGATGTCACTGGTTCCACCTGAAGATGCCACTCCATGAGCAACTGGCGTCCTACCTCCATGAGCAGCTGACATCCCAACTCCAAGCGTAATGGGAGTTCCAGTCCCATGACCAACTTTTTTTTTTGCCCGAGCCCGTTGCCTTTCGGCGGGTCTACGGTACTTGAGACTTACTCGTCTACCACGTCACGATCGCGGCCCCGTACCCGGGGGGAATCGATCCGCGGCTAGCTGTCTATGCACGGTCCTGAGACGGGCATTATACCACTACGCGACGAGATCGCCTGTTCCAGTCCCACGTCCAACTGTGAGCAGCCAGTACAGCGGAATTTGGCCCAACCTTTTCCAACAAAGGTGGCTCTAGTAGCTGCTGTGGCGGTTGCTGTTGCTTCCTGGATTGAAAGAATTGGTTCATCTTCTGAAGTTCGGAGACCATCAAGGCCTGGTTCTCAATGCTCTTCCTGCTCAACTCATGAGACTCCTCAATCTTCACAGCCGCGTGCTCACAGGCATTGAATATACTGCCACATGGGTAACTGTGCCTTAGCACCTGGCACCAATCCCAACTCATGTTGTCAAAGTGCTTCTTCACATCTTGAAAATGCCCCTTTACCTCGGCCTTCAAACACCCAATTGACTGGCGTAATACTGTATACCACTGCCACTGCCAGTGGCTGCTGGTCACCGTCTGCGCGACATCTTTCAAGGTGTTGGAGGCACAACGACAAATTCAGTGGGGTAAGATGCGGGTCGTTGAGCACAAGGGCCAGAAAAATTTTCTTTGGACCAACAGTGATGGAAAGCAGTATGACCTTGGATGAGCAAGCTTTGTTGGAACAAGGGGAAATCGACACTGAAGTGTAAGCAGAGCTTTGCACCTTGGGGATCCCAAGGAAGCCATGGAATTTGTTGCGAAGGCGGTTGAAGCAGGTCACCCAAGGTCCTTAGCGATTCATTTGAGTGGAGATGTGAAAGACCTGCGACTTGCGCAATGCTTGCAAGCAATATAAGATTGCGGAGACAGACAGATCTCTGTTGAGGATCGCAGTTTGGAAACCTCGTGAGAGGAAAGTGCAGTTTCTAGGTTTGAATGCCCTGCCGTTTGGGGCGGTTGGCTCGGTGAGTTCATTTTTGAGAATCTCTATGCCCATCTGGTAAAAGGCGTAAGAGGATTGCGCCTCTGCTGGACGGCTTTCTTTGATGACTATACAGTCGAGGTCCCTTTCTGGCCGCCATGTTTCTACTGGTTTTTTGGATCCAGGTTTGTTGGCATTCGAGGCGCTCCAAGGCTTACCGAGGCCTGCCCGAGGCACGCATGGCAGGAGCTACTGTGGAAGAAATCAGCAGCAAAGCGCCGCCAGCGGTTGCTAAAAGCACCCCAACAGCTGCCAAGCTAGGATGTGCGTTTTCCCACAGCGCGGAGCGGTATAGTTGATGAACTTGGACTACTATACCCTGAAAACCGTGGAAATTTGCGGAAAAACATTGCCAGCGTACAGCGTATAGTTGGTTCAATTCGATAAAAACACCCTACTAAAAAATCTTTCTTAGAATGTAAGCTGACCGGCCAAAATGGATCTCACGCCACAGCGCGGAGCGAAAAGTAGGGTACTAAACCGTCTGGCCCGCAGCACCAAAATTGTGTTCTCGCCACAGCGCGGTGGGTTTAGTTGGGCTCTTTGTTTGTACGATTATTTTACAGATTCCATTTGTTTGCGTGACGGGCGCAGCACTTGCGAACCCCGTACGGCCATCTTAAAGGTTGAAGCGCGGCTGGATACTTTTATTTGACGCCTCCACATGGAGCAGTAGAAAGGTGGAAGCCGATGGTGCCAAGCACACACTGCCCTGTGGGTAGATCTCCTTCATTGGGGCCCAGATGAAAGATTTCCCTCATTTGCAGAGGAACCCAACAAAGCTATATTTCGTTGCTTGCCCCGTCCATAGAACAAAGCTGAAAAAATTGCAGTAGTGAACTCTTTCTCATCAATGTGGTTGGAAATCAACAGCGCTCTTGCAGCAGAAGGACAGCGCCCATCACAGTGGCAAGCCCAACCTGAAGCCTCCACCAAGAAAGATAAACGCGATCTTTGACTCTCAGCTATGATTGCTGTAGCTCCCCTTTTTTCTTCACTGGAAGATTGGACTATCTACACA